GTATATTGCCGTAGTCGTGTGTTTATTAGTCACGTTGAATCAATAAAAGCAGTTGAATCTTCTGTTTATTCAGCTGCTATAGGCATTTCCTGGGTTTCTTCTGCTAGGCGTATTTGGAGTTTCAGCGCGAGAGCGCCCTCTGGCCTTTGGATGGAGATTTACTGCTGATCACAGAACCGTGCTTCACTGAAAGATACGCATGACAATCGCAGCTTCTGTCGAAACGCGATTTCGATTTCATTTCGATTTATCGTACAGCCCTAGTTTACGGTCATATCCTTATGTATAAATGTCACAAGTTCATGCAAGCATTTCCATTTTGCATAAAGGTCCTTCCTGACAGTCTGTTAAGTTTGAATCTTTACTGAATGAGCGGCAGCCACGTGCACGCGCGTCAGACAGACGGAAAACAGAGACAATTAATAATCAGTGCAAAAACATTTATTGTGCTGAAATATCTGTTGTTGAAAGTTAAATTAAGGTTTAAAAGTCTACATGCATTGAGAGTATTTTATGAGAGTAGGAACTGTAAGGGGATAACAGCGTGTATTGTCTGAATATAAATATCAGACGCTTCATAACCGCCTTTTACAGGATAAAGAAATGATAGTAAGACGTGACTGTGGTCAAAGTGAACGTGTGTTCCTGCAGAACATTACTCTTACCTATTGGTTACAACTTAGTTTGTGATTTTATTAGTCTTTATCATGTTTATTATTTAATTTTTAATGCAGAGATTTAAACTATATTCACTATATACAATGCTAAACAAATTTATTAAAACAAATTTATGTTAGGTTTTTAACAAATTATGGTTTGTGACACTGCTGCTCTAAACTAACAGTACTGGTGATTACCAAAATAATTTTTTAGCTTTCTGTATTGGTTAGTCCTCCAATATGCGTACGCTCTTTAGTGACAGTATATGCTATTTCTAATGCTATAATATAATTGTTGCTGTTATCTATGAAAGAAAGGCAGAGAGCTTTATAGTTTGTTTTTTTTTAGATACCCAATTACAGTCAAAAAAGTACATAAACAATGCCAGCAAGAGTGCAATTTGTTATGAAGGGCACAGGAGGCCATTTTTGTTATGTGAATAAATACTATTTAGTTGTTTAAGTTTATTTGCCCAATAAATGACAATAACATTTTTTGATTTAAACAATTTTTTGACAGATTCCTGAATTAAGCACCATATGTTTTCATAGCATTCAGTTGGCACATTTGTTTGAAGGACATTGGGCAGAATGTGGAATTGTGTGTTTTTTGTCAATAAAATAAAAAAACATTTTTTTTAAAAATCCGATTAATCGAAAAAGTAATCGACCATCAAAATAATTGTTAGTTGCAGCCCTATATAAAATCGTGAATCGTGATCAGAAATCAAAAAATTGTGAATCCATTTTTAAACGAAACGTGACCCCAAGAATCGATATGAATCGAATCATGAGGTACCAAAAGATTCCCACCCCTAGTTTGTGGCAGCAGATTCTCACTCTTTCTCAGTGCATAACACACGTCTCTAAACACCTGTGCGTCCGCTCGTGTCTCTGTGTCAAGAGTTCGTCTCACTCATGCGTTCTGAGCAGCTCGTCTTTCTGCAGGCCTGTTTTGTGTTAATTACCAGTCCGTTAGCACATCGTTAATATTAAAGACCCTGCCTGGCTTCAGCACAGAGCAGATGAGGATGTTTATAACGGGCATTAGCAGCATCCGCACACATGAGTGACACACAGGAACTGGAGCAGAGCATAATACATGCCAGACGGCGTATATATTGTAATGATGACTTTATGAAGATCAGCACTGGTCCAAAAAATTTCTGAGCTTAAAATGGCAGACAACTAGTGTTAGTGATACTTATATGCACTAAAATAAGATTTTTTTTTAAAAACTAGGGATTGGTGTGATGTTTTATGGAAATATTTCAGATAGATATATAAAAAATTACAATTATAAATATGTAAAATGAATATATTTCTCTAAATCTGTGTGCAAAAGTAATTAGCCTACGAAATGCTTCTAACATACTAGCAGCATGCTAAACATGCCAGCAAAATTGTTAACAAGTGCTAAAACATGCTATCAACATGTTGAAACATGCTATAGCAGCATGTTAAAACATGCTAGCAATGTTCTGAAACCTGTTAACAAAATGTGAAAACATGTTAGTAATGTGTTAAATCATGCTAACAATGTGTTAAAACAGGCTACTAGCATGTTAACAATGTTCTAAAAATGTTAGCGATGTTCTAAACATTAGCAAAGTGTTAAAACATGTTAGCAATGTGTTAAATCATGCTAACAATGTGTTAAAACGGGCTACTAACATGTTAAAACATTAATGATGTTCTAAAACATGTTAGCCAAATGTTAAAACATGCTGGCTATGTATTAAATCATGATAACAATGTTAAAACATGCTAGCAATGTTCTGAAACATGTTAGCAAAATGTTAAAACATGTTAGTAATGTATTAAATCATGCTAACAATGTGTTAAAATGGGCTACTAGCATGTTAGCAATGTTCTAAAACATGCTAGCAACATGTTAAAATGTTAGAGATGTTCTTAAAACATGTTAGCAACATGTTAAAACATGCTAGCAAAGTGTTAAAACATGTTAGTAATGTATTAAATCATGCTAACAATGTGTTAAAATGGGCTACTAGCATGTTAGCAATGTTCTAAAACATGCTAGCAACATGTTAAAATGTTAGAGATGTTCTTAAAACATGTTAGCAACATGTTAAAACATGCTAGCAAAGTGTTAAAACATGTTAGTAATGTATTAAATCATGCTAACAATGTGTTAAAACTGGCTACTAAAATGTTAAAACATTAACGATGTTCTAAAACATGTTAGCAACATGTTAAAACATGCTGGCTATGTGTTAAATCATGATAACAATGTTAAAACATGCTAGCAATGTTCTGAAACATGTTAGCAAAATATTAAAACATGCTAGCATCATGTTAAAACATGTTAGTAATGTATTAAATCATGCTAACAATGTGTTAAAACTGGCTACTAACATGTTAAAACATTAACGATGTTCTAAAACATGTTAGCAACATGTTAAAACATGCTGGCTATGTGTTAAATCATGATAACAATGTTAAAACATGTTAGCAACATGCTTAAACATGCATGCTACAATCATCTGTCTGTATGTTTTCTGAATGGCTTTCAAAACCTTCAAACTTTAAGCTATAAACTACTTCAGACTACTTCCAACTGAAAACCTTCATGTTTCTTCAAACTTGCTAGTCAGGCTTTCTAAAGCCAACATCAAAGTTTGTCTTGACAAACGTGTTTATCTAGTTAACATTTTAATTTATCATAATGTAATTTAAAAATATATGTATTTATACAATAGTTTCTCGTTATTCTGTACTGTATCTGTATAATAAAGAGACAAAATGAAAAACATGTTTTACACTAAATGTTTGAATAATCTAAGTTTAAACATCCCTTAACTGTTATTCTCTTCTTTCACTCACCTGTGTCTCCGCCCCCTTCCTCGTCTTCAGCCAATAAGAAGAAGGAGCGTCCAGAGATCTCTCTGCCATCAGACTTTGAGCACACTATCCATGTTGGCTTTGACTCCGTCACTGGAGAGTTCACCGTAAGTCTGAGCAAAGATCTTTTCCTGCAGGATGCCCACATGCTCTATGTTGAAAACATCTTTATTCATACATTCAGACATTATTACATATGCATATATTTCTATATTATTAGACTCTCTTTTTGTGACTCCACATTTGATCTAGTATCCAGTTATCCAACCACTGGGAACAAAATATTGACTTTTTTGTCTAGGAAAAGACAGCTTCTTTTGACAAATTATGGCCAAATCTAAATGTAAAATTCACTTTTACTCTGCACTTAACCTGTAAAATTAATGAACTCATCTGATTATAAAGGGAAAATGCTAAAGAAAGCAAGCAAAAAAGGACAAACGGAAAGAAAAATGGCTAAAGATGTTCATTTATAGACTAACACCCATTTGACATCAGCAACCCAAATATAGAAAGTGAACCTCCAGCAGTTCAGACTCGCAGCATTAACCTCCGGGTCCAGATCTGTCTTCCTCTTTACATCTGGTTTATTATATCTGATAAGATATTAAATGAGCTGTGCTCTTTTCCTGACCCCTAAATCAGCCGTACATTTCCTGCGTGTGACACTGAGTTGAGTTCAGTTTGTGTAATGAGTGTTAATGAGAGCCGGTGGCTCAGAACCACGCCAGCAGAGACGCTCAAATGACTTCAGTCCATTAGACCTTAAACTGATGCCGGTGGTCCAGCAACACACTCAAACTGATCACAATGAGACCATATTAATCTGTCTGTAAGGTTTACCATTGCTTTTGGCACAGGCGTGCTTGAGAAAGCCGCATTGTGAGTGTCATAGTTCTGGGTGACAGTGCAGACTGATTACCGTGGTTTACACCGTCTTCAGTGCTTGTTGTTGTGGCTCTCTGCGTAGGGCATGCCTGAGCAGTGGGCACGGTTACTCCAGACGTCCAACATCACCAAACTCGAGCAGAAGAAGAATCCTCAGGCCGTTCTGGACGTGCTTAAATTCTACGACTCTAAAGAAACGACCAACAGCCAGAAATACATGAGCTTTACAGGTGTGACACTCACTTACAAATTAAAGCTATAGCAGTGTAGATGTGTATGTATGTGTGTGTAAAATAAAATGGAAAAAATAAAAAATATATGTAATAAAAATATATAAACGATTTGTTTATATAGTATGAATATATACACACACACACACAAATAAATAAATATATATATAGTGCTGTCAAACGATTAATCGCTTCCAAAATAAGTTTTTGTTTACATAATATATCTGTATCACGTGTATACATATGTATGTGCATGTGTATATATATATATATATATATATATATATATATATATCTTTTATTAGTGGCTTTACATCAGCCATTGAATCCTTTATAAACCAGCAGTTGAAAAAATAAT